GATCTCTCCTTTGCCCCCAGATTTGCCTGGAGTCTGACTATGATGCTGATAGTCAGATGCTTGGAGCAGAATAGAGGCACACCAGGTGGTTTTTTGCTGTATGGGGCTCTGTGTAGGTTGGGTAGGGGAGGGAAGGAAAGCAAGCCTGCTCCAAGCCTGGCAGTTGCTCAGACCCCAGTCAGCTCTCTGGGCTGAAGTAAAAGTCAGTGAATGACTGTAGAATTCTGTCTCCATGAAATCTGTGAGCTTGGAGGGGCACTCAGTGATTTCTTCCTCCCTTGAGGTGATAAGACAGTGGCTCACATGTGGCTGCTGGCTGTACCGCATAGCCGTCTGCAGCAGTGTCTCTGTCTTCTCTTGTTCCACAGAGTCTTCATTTTTTTTTACTTCTTTGCAGAAAATTTCCATCAGTAAGACCTCTGGAAATGTAATACTTGCTTTGTTCTTTTCATATCCCAGAGCAGCTTAGGTTAGTGTAGCTATACCCTATTTAGCCATCTTGGATCCTCCAACTCATGACTTTTGAGTTTCAAATAAATCTGGATATTTCTATTATTCCCTAGGTTTGGGAAGTTTACTGTTATTATTCTTTGAACCAGCTTTTTACCTTTTTGGTGTTTTCAAGTCCCTCTTAAATCATAATAACCCAAGTATTTACTTTTTTATTTGTATTACATTTCGTGTAAGTTTTATTTATACCTTTTCCTTTTTTTCTCTCTGACAGTGTATTTTCAAATAATCTATATTTCAGAAAATTGATTTTTTTCTTCTCTTTTTCATATTCTACTGATGGCTTGTATATCATTGCTCATTTTGTTTAGTGTATTTTTATCTCAAAGATTTCTGTTTGATTTTTACAAATTATTTGAATCTCTGTTAGACTTGCCTCACAATGAGATGTACTGATTTGTTTCTCTGTGTTTTCTGAAGCTCATTAAGTGTCCGTAAAGTAGCCATTTTAAATTCCCCTTCTGGGAGGTCCAACATGGCTGAGTAAGGAAAAGACCTACTGATTTGGCCACAGGAAGATAACAAAAGAAAAGTGGACTAACTAACTGTACTCCCAGGGGAGAATTGAAGAGAAGTTTGCAGTGGAAATTCTACAGAAAGAAGAGAGATGCCATGGAGCAGCATAAACAGTAGAAACATTCAGCAGTGAGCAGGGACACCATTGGTGCCTCCCATAGCTGTGGGTTAGACAAGATGCAGCTTTCTTAGGGCAATGTAAGAGGAATCTGTGGCAGCCAGTTTAGTAAGGCGATAAGCACCTGCGGGCAGCTCTAGCAGAGCAGAGCAGAGTGTGCACTGCGGGGCACCGAAGACAGGCACATATCAACGCCAAAGAATAAAAAGAAAGGGGGATCTGTGGGGAGCAACCAAGACTAGACTAAATTACTGGAACTGCTAAGACTAATTCCATGCACCTGATCTCCCACCAGATGGTGCTGGGAGAGAATAAACAACTTCCACACAGCTGCCTCACCAATTCGACTAATACGCTGCAGGAGCTGATCCTGCTTCTGATTGGAGAAGAGCAGCGTGCTCGGCGTGTGGGCAGCAGAGCACGGATTGGTGGTTATTATTGATAAGGGATAACTTGACCCTGCCATTTTCTCATAAATATTCCTATTTTTGCCTTGGATTTCTTTTGTACTTTCACAAGGAGATTTTCCATCTTCACATTCTTTCATAATGATGACTATCTTTGTGTTTGTATGTGTTGTACATCCTTAAGTATCATTTGTGAGGCTGGACAAGTTGGGACGAGTTCTTTCAATTTCTTGAATGTAAATGGCCTAAATTCTCAAATTAAAGGATACTGACTGGGTGTATGAGTTAAAAAACAAGATCCATTTATTTGTTGCCTGCAAGAAACACACCTCACCAACAAATATATACACAGAGTAAAGTGAAATTTGGTATACTAGCTTAAGCCTCTGCCTGGAGAAACAGAATCCCATATGGGTACTGGTTCAAGTCATGGCTGCTCCACTTCCTATCCACCTCCCTGTTGGTGCACCAGGAAAGGCAGCAGAGGATGATCCAAATATTTGGGCCCCTGCACCCATGTGGGAGACCTGGAAGGAGGTCTTGGCTTTTGGTATTGGATCAGCCCAGCTCCAACCATTGTGGCCATTTGGGGAGTGAACCAGCAGATGGAAGATGTCTCTTTCTGTCTCAGCCTCTCTTTGTCTGTAACTCTGCCTCTCAAATAAATAAATAAATCTTAAAAAATTAAATATTCAATGATAATTTCTTTCTGATGAAATTTCCCATGTTCATCAGTTTAATTTTTATTAGAACTTCTAAAATATTAAATATATAGTTGTATAAAATTCTTTCTAATAATCTGAACATCTCAGTCATATCTGAGTCTAATTCTGTTTTTTTTTTTAAGATTTATTTGTTTAATTATTTGAAAGGTAGAGAAATAAAGGGAAAGAGAGGTATCTTCCATCCTCTGGTTCACTCATCAAATGTCCACAATAGCTAGGGCTGGTCCAAACTAAATCCAGGAGCCCACAGCTTCATCTAGATCTCCCATGTGGGTAAAAACGGACCAAGTACTTGGGTCATCATTTGATGCCTTTCCAGGTGCATTGGCAAGAAGGTGGATTAGGAGTAGAGCACCCAGTACTCAAACCAGCACTATAGGATGGCAGCATCACAAATAGTGGCTTCATTGTGGGATATCCATTTCCAGGACAAAAATAAAATAAAATGTGATCTATACTGCTGGTTTGAGTACTAGGTGCTCTGCTCCTAATCCAGCTTTCTGCTAATGCACCTGGGAAGGCATCAAATGATTATCCAAGTACTTGGGTCCTTGTCACCCACATGGGAGATCCAGATGAAGTTTCCAGCACTGGCCATTGCAGCCATCTGGGTTGGGAGGGATGTGGTAAACCAGCTGATAAAGCTCTCTGTCTCAACCTCTCTCTCTCCAGAACTTTGACTTTCAAAATAAATAAATAAATAAATAAATAAATCTTTTTTATAATTGCAAAGGTGAAACTCTTTTGAGCTTTTTCTATTCTAATTTTAACTTTTTCAAAATTTTTCTCCCTAAATTAGCATGAGATTTTTTTTTTCTGGTAAGCCAAGAAATAACAAAAGAAAGCCAAAAAATTTATAATGATGATATTTTGAAGGCATATACAAAAATTCAACAGCCCTTGAACACTTGTAAATGTCAGGAAGGGGAATGCAAGCCTATTAGGCAGAGACTGATATGAACTAGATGAGGAGTTAGTGAGGTAAAGAGAGCTGACCGATTTCCAGCAGTCTCTGTGCCTTATCCCTGCACCACTAATTTCTCCAGACCCACCCATCCCAGTGCAGCACTCTCACTTTCCCATGATGCTCCTAAGTCTCCTCCACGATGAGGAAGATGCAATGTTGAATACATGTATTCTGAGCTCCATGTAGAGAAGTCAGGACACCTTCCCAGATATAATCATGCACACTGTGCAAACTCCACTCCATTTGTATATCCGATTAGGGCACCACCCTCTAATAGAGGGGGCAGGTAACATGGGGGTGGGGGGGATTCTCCTCCTAAGGCTGCTTACATGTACTCCTGAGACTGCACTATCCTTTTAATTCCCTTAAATAAACCATGCTTCTCTCCTAGGACCTTTTCTGTGTTCCTGCTTTGAATTCCTCTCATGTAGAAACAGAAACTTGGAATACATCAAGGTGCAGCACACCTGCCAGCCCTCAGAACAAGACAACCATGGGATATCTGAATAAGACTAATAAGAAGGGGATCTGGATAAATAATTTGAGACTACTCTATTAGCTTCATTTATCCAAAGTTCTGACTGGTCTTATTTTAACTAATGGGAAATTTATATCTGAATGCTCTACAAAAACATCATGCTTGGTAGTATTTGCTCTTATTCTAAATAAAATTGAATAAGATTTTCATTTCATTGTGCAGGATTTCAAGTAACTTTTAAGAATGTCTTTAAAATATTTTATTGGTGATATGTTCCACAAAAAATTAATTAGGGGCTGATGCTGTGGTATGGTATGTTAAGCCTCTGCCTTCAGTGCTGGCATTCCATATGGTGCTGGTTCAAGTCTTGGCTGTTCTGCTTCTGATCCAGCTTCCTGCTGAAGCACTTGGGAAATCAATGGATGATGGTCCAAGTACTTGGGCCCTGCACCCATGTGAGAGACACGGAGGAAGCTCCTGGCTCTGGCTTCAGCATGGCTCAGCCATCACTGTTGCAACTATTTGGGGAATGAACCTGATGATGGAAGATCTCTTTCTCTCTCTCTCCTTCCTTCTCTCTCTGTATTTCTGCCTTTCAAATAAATAAATAAATATTTAAAAAAGTAATTAACCTAAAAATTAGTAATTAGATATGAATTCTTTTTTTAAAGATTTATTTATGTATTTGAAAGTCAGATTTACACAGAAAGAGGAGAGGCAGAGAGGCAGAGAGGCTGCAATGGCCGGAGCTGAGCCGATCTGAAGCCAGGAGCCAGGAGCTTCTTCTGGATCTCCCACACAGGTACAGGGCCCAAGGACTTGGGGTATCGTCTACTGATTTCCCAGGTCATAGCAGAGAGTTGGTTTGGACGTGGAGCAGCCAGGTATGGAACCGGTGCCCATATGGGATGCCAGCACCTCAGGCCAGGGTGTTAACTGCTGTACCACAGCGCCGGCCCCATGAATTCTTTCATATACTCAACAAATACTTCCAAAGCCCTTCCCACTCTCCAGATACTCTATTCTGTGGAGATACAGTACAATAAGACAATAGAAAGGAAACCCCCATCCAGTCACTGATTTCAAGAATCTTAGTGGACAAATGTCAGCTAAGAGTTGCCACTTCAGAAGATACTGTTTCATGTAAGATTGATTATTTTTTATTTGGAGAGTTTAAGCATTATAACAGAATTCAGCATACCAAGACATATCCTTCCTTTTTTTAAAGATTTATTTTATTTATTTGAAAGACAAAGTTACAGAGAGTGGTAGAGACAGAGAGAGAGTTCTTCCATATGCAGGTTCACTCCCCAAATGGCCACAGCAGCCAGAGCTGAGCCAATCTGAAGTCAGGAGCCAGGAGCTTCTTCTGTCTCTCATGTGGGTGCAGGGGCCCAAGCACTTGGGCCATCTCTGCTGCTTTCCAAGGCACCTTAGTAGGGAGTTGGATCAGAAGTGGAGCAGCCAGGACTCAAACCAGCACCTATGTAGGATGCTGGTACTGCAGGCCAGGACTTTAACCTGCTGCACCACAACACCGGTCCCAAAGACATATACTTCTTATTTTCAGTGTTTTTTTTTTTTTTTCTTTTCAAGAGCAAAGCCATTGTCTCCTCAAACACTGTATCTTCATAAGTACAGCAGGACACCTGGTTCTCAGTAGGTGCTATGTGACTCTTTGGTGAGCGAACATGCACCAATGCACATCAAACAGAAGACGTTTTTCTTTACATGTTCTTGTGGTTTCTGTGATCGCTACTGGCTCTTCTCTAAGAATAGTGGAGACTTAGTTTATATTGTAGCCTAGGCAATCACGGGGAATTTTGAGAAAAAAACAAAAAACAAAAAGGGAACTTGGGATAGGTCAGAGATAGGGATGGGATGCCATGGGGGATGAAATGGCACAAGAGAAAACCCGATGGGATAATTGAAAAGGTCAAGAGAAGGAAGACAGAAAGGAGCAAGGCCACGAGAATGTTAGGCAGTCTACTGAGAAGCCTTTTAGTTCTGTACTTTATGAGTGAGAGAGTCTATGTCCCTAGTGGTACCGTGATGTTTCAATGCCACATGAGACTTGATCCACGGCAGATGAAATAAGGGGTGAACAGTGGAATGGAAGCTGATGGCCACCAGAGACGCTGGGAGCCGGAGAGCAGTCAGAACCAGAAGGAAAATGAGAGACTGAGTAGGAAGCTGAGGGTTTGGGGAAGGAGATTTCCCTGTTGCAGACAGAATTTCACCTGTAGTTTGAAGAAGGAAGTCAGAGTAGAGATATTGTGGATGGTTTGTTCAGAGCAGGTATCAAGGAAGAGCTTCTTTCTGAGAGAAACAACACTTGCGAACAAAATGCTGTTTCTGTTACTTCCATTGCTAGCAGCCCTACTACCCAGTGGTGACAGCAAAGCTGGTAAGAACCCCGGCAACTGCCCAGGAGGTGCAAGAGGGTCCGTGTGTATGTGCCTGTGTTTGTGTGCTCATTTAAGTGGTGGTGATTTCCCCAGCATATGACTGGGTAGTAAGATATCCAGTTTGGCTTCATTCTGAGTTTGCCTGTCTCTATGTCCTTGTGCTCTTCTGAAAGTTATTAAGGCTTGGAACCCCGTGGCAGGCACAAGTCTGCTAAGATAATGATGGCTCTACTTTTCTCTAGACTCTTGAGTTCCCCCATGCTGGTAGCTTTCTTCATCAGTTCTCATCTCCAGTGACTTTTTCTCCAATTCGTTCTCTTTTTTTGCCACAGGGTTTGAAGACCCCATCTCCTTCTATGTCCTGCAGACCTTGTCTTTTTACAACCGTTCCTGGGTACAGAATCTGGGATCAGGTTGGCTGAGCGACTTGGAGACTCATCGCTGGCAGAACGACTCTGATGTCATCGCTTTGCTGAGGCCTTGGTCCAGAGGCAACTTCAGCAACAAGGAACTGTTGGAAATTGAAACGATTTTCCATATGCACTACATCAGAGTCATTAGGGAAATTCACAGCGTTGCCCGCAATTTGCAGTTGGAATGTAGGTTCAGCTCCCTCCCCGGGGCATGGGGAAATGAGTGGCTGGATGTGTCTAAATGATTATCTGATTTTTCTAGGAAATCGACTTCACTCTCTTCCAATTCTTACCCCACTCTCCACCGTGTAAAATAGCAGTCACACATTGTTGAGCAAGGGCTGTTAAGTCACACCCTGATTCTTAGAGTTCAAGTCTTCTGCTACCTATGGACTGCTCTCTCGTTACAGGATTCTGCTTTATTACCTTCCCTTACAGGCATCTGTGTCTGTCCAGGCACTGACGTCTAACCAGATTCTTTGACTCGTTAAGTGTGGTTTCTCTTCAGTACCCATTCTATTCATCCTTCTTTGCCTATACATAGATTTTTCACCCACTGCATTCCATTCACTGTTGATTATTTTATTCTCAAATCTCACACTTAGCTTTTATTGTCCACACCATTCATAGCACTTTCTTTGAATAGTTTCTGTCCCTCATCAAGCGATTCATGTCTTCTTCACCCGCCAGTTCCCAACAGTTGCCCTTTCTCCACACCTCTGATGAAAGCATACTGTGTTTCATTCCCTCACACCGCTCAAAATTCTCTCTTCTGCCACCAGTGTGTTTTGCTGCTACTCATTCCATCTCATTGTTTTCCTTCTGACTTTTCTCTAACTCCTAACTCCTCTGCCCCAGATCCCTTTGTTTTGCAGTTGGCCGTGGGCTGTGCCCTGCACTCTGGGGAGGTCACAGAAGGCTTCCTGAGGAAAGCCTATCAAGGGTCAGCTCTCCTGAGCCTCCAGAGCAGTTCATGGGTGCCCTCTCCTCAGGGTGGAAGCAGGGCCCAGCACGTCTGCAGACTGCTCAATCTATTCAGAGGCCTCAAGGAAACAGTGCACAGGCTCCTCACCGTCACCTGCCCACGCTTCCTCTTCAGCTTACTTGACACAGGGAAAGCAGACATCCAGTGCCAAGGTCAGTCCTCCACCCTCTCTCCAAGTATTAATTACTTCCTGTTATAATCACACTTTCCAGACAGCCCTTGCCAATTTAGGGTAAGAAGCAACTCAGAAAGGGGAGGGATGTGTCTTTCTAAAGTCAGTGGAAATATGAAGCCATTCATGTGTTAGCTTTCTTTTCTGAACCTTTTTTCCTTCTTCTACAGTAAGACCCACGGCCTGGCTGTCCAGTGGCCCCAGCCCTGGGCCTGGCCGTCTGCAGCTGGTGTGTCATGTCTCTGGCTTCTACCCAAAGCCCATACGGGTGATGTGGATGCATGGGGACAAGGAGCAGCTGGGCACTTGGCGCGGTGGTGTCCTGCCGCATGCTGATGGCACCTGGTATCTCCGAGTAACCCTGGAAGTGGTGGCCGGAGAGGCGGAGGAGCTGTCTTGTTGGGTGAAACACAGCAGCCTAGAAGGCCAGGAAATGATGCTTTACTGGAGTGAGAAAGATCCAGGGTCCAGGCTGGAAAGGGGAGGAGGCGGTCAACAGGCAGTGCAGGAGGGACAGCTGAAAATTTAGACTTCAGTGACTCTGAACCCAGAAGGAAGAAAGAAAGTTAATCTGAGGAATAAAAGAGAAAATGAGGGACCTATAGATCCAGGAGGATATTGGGTATTCGATGAAGGGTCCATCTCTAAAGGGGGATGAGAGAAGAGATGGGAGAAGGAAAATTGTGGAGGTGACCTCTCAGCTGACACAGGAATCTCAGGGGAATGCATAAAGCAGGAGTAGATGGGCAAGAGAGGGGATGGGTTGTCAACATTGGTGTCCATCCACATCCACAGAGCATCGCAGCTCCACGGGATCATCCAGTGGTGGTGCTCCTGGCTGTGCTGACAGCTCTTGTATTTTGGTTTAGGAAGCACAGGTGAGTTCTCTGTTTTCATCTCTCCATCTTCCTCCTGTTTTCTCTTTTGCCTTCCCATCTTTGTGTTTATTTCTCCTAAGTTCTCCATCTGTTCCCAGGCTCTCTGCCTCTTTCTCGTAGCTCTCGCCTCCACCCTGTGCAGAGTGGCTTCCATCTCTCTTTTCAGTGGTTCTTTCAGGACATGCCGTGGGGCTCCGTGCACCCTTTTCCTCTTGCAGTGAGAACCCAGGAACATGGGCTTGGCGTCCACCTGAACACGACCTGCTGATGACGTCCACTCGGCTTCTCTTGTAAAACAGGCTGTTTTCATTTATTTCTGCTTAGTGATCAGTTGTTTGTATAAGCTAAGTATAACTTTACAAGATTGTAGTTCTGAAATACGGCACATTTTTGTACCCTATTATAAAGAAAATTGAAAGTATGTCACTATATATATTAAAAGAAAAATAAGAAAGGAATGAGGAGAAAGTGGAAAAAAGTGAGTGAGGGAGGGTTGGGTGGGAAGTCTCATTATGCTCTTAAAATGCATATATGAAATACATAAAATCTGTTCCCTTTATAGAAATTATAAAAATAGAATTAAATAAAACAGATTTGTAGTTCTGACCTGGATTTTGGGCTTTCAAAATTTGCATTTTTACTCTGAATAGAATGAGGTCCTAACAATCATGTGTTCAGTTATTAATGGGTTAGTGGGTTCATTTAAATCAAATGTCACTTCTCAAAAGCCTTCCCTGATTCACCAGCGGTAGTCAGTCTCACTCTGGTCTGATCTGCCACACTGTACTAGATGTACTCCTTACTCCCTTATCCTTTACTACATTATCTAGATCATTTTCCCCTTGAATCTTGCATCTCCCTGAGAGCAAAGTATGTATCTTTGCAACACAGGTATCACTGGTGAGGTATCTTGTCTACATGTTATGTTTTCTCAATAAAAATTTGTATTGAATGTAAGCCAACTTTGTAGTCTTTTCCCTGATTTCTCTATAGTTGTTGAGACATTCGAAGTTCCTCTTCTTCTTTTTTTAAATTTTTAAAAATTTATTTATTTATTTGACAGGCAGAGTGGACAGTGAGAGAGAGAGACAGAGAGAAAGGTCTTCCTTTGCCGTTGGTTCACCCTCCAATGGCCGCCACGGCTGAAGAGTAAAAACCAATAGACAGAAATCATTTGACAAAATACAACATCCTTTCATGATGAAAAACTTAAACAAATTGGGTATAGAAGGAACATTCCTCAACACAATCAAGGTAATTTATGACTAACCCAAAGCCAGCATCTTACTGAGTGTGGAAAATTTGGAAGCATTTCCATTATGATCTGGAACCAGACAAAGATGTCCACTTTCATGAATGTTGTTCCAAAGTTTTAGTCAGAGCCATTAGGCAAGAAAAAGAAATCAAAGGGATACAAATTGGAAAGGAGGAAGTCAAACTATCCCTATTTGTAGATGACATGATTCTATATATGAGGGAACCAAAAGACTCCATTAAGCAATTGTTGGAATTCATAAGAGTTTGATAAAGTGGTAGGATATAGAATTAGCACACAAAACTCAGTAGCTGTTTTATACACAGACAATGCCATCGTTGGGAAAGAACTTCTATGACCGAGCTCATTCAGAACAGCTACAAAAAATTTAAATACCTTGGAATAAATTAAACTGGGATGGTGAAACATCTCTATGATGAAAATTAGGAAATGTTAATTTTTTGGCCTTTGAAGTGAAGGTATGAATGGTTTATGTCACATGTTTACAATATTAGAACATTCTGCATGTGCTTTTTTCTTACTCTTACCTGTGAGTTTTCTATGTTCTATTATTTTCTGTTACTTGCTTTCATCTTTACCTTTCAGTTTAAATGTCTCCATTTAGCATTTCTTGTGAATTATATCTAAAGGTGAAAAATTCTCTCAGCTTTTCTTCTCTGGGAAAGACTTTATTTCTGTCTTATGTGAGGATGCCTTTGCTGAGTGTGGTATTCTTGGCTGGTGGCTTTTTCCCTTAGGTGTTCTGAAAATTTTCTTCCACTCATTCCTTGCCCATAAAGTTACTACTGAGAAGTCTGCATTCTGGAGAATTGGGACTTATTTTTGTGTTATTTGCTCTTTTTTGCATGCCAACTTGAGAATCCTCTATTTTTTTAAAGATTTATTTATTGATTTATTTATTTGAAAGTCAGAGTTACCCAGAGAGAGGAATGGCAGAGAGAGAGAGAGAGAGAGAGGTCCTCCAACTGATGGTTCACTCTCCAATTGGTATCAATGGCCTGAGCTGTGCCAGTCTGAAGCCAGGAGCCAGGAGCCTCCTCTGGGTCTCCCATGTGAGTGCAGGGGCCCAAGGACTATGGGCCATCTTCCACTGCTTATCTAGGACACAGCAGAGAGCCAGATCAGAAGTGGAGCAGACTGGTCTCAAATTGGAGCCCATATGGGATGATGGCACCTCAGGCCAGGGCATTAACCTACTGGCCACAGTGCTGGCCCGAAGAGAATCCTCTGTTTTTAATTTTGGATGGCTTTATTACAATAATTCCTTGGGTAAACTTGGCTCGGTTGACTCTGATAAAGTTGTATGTTCCTGTACCTAGATAGGCATTTCTTTCTCCAGATTTTAGAATTCTTTTGTTATTATCTCCTTGAATGTATTTTGTAACTTATTTGACATTTTCAAGTCCCTTTGAATCGTAATAATGCCAATATTTTCTCTTCTCATGTGGTCTCAAAGTTCCTGTTAGCTTTGTTGAATCCTACTGATCTTTTTATTTTTTTCTTTTTCAACTGTGTACTTTCAAATAGCCTGTCTTCAAGTTCTTTCTTACATTGATTTTTTTCTATTATTGATGCCTCCCAACATATTTTTAGTATCATTTAATGTACTTTTAAGTTGAATGAATCTGTTTGATTTTATTATTTCCATATCTCTATCCATTTCCTCTCTTAGGATATTAAATCATTTCTCTGTATTCTCTTGAAGTTCTATCAATTTCCTTAAAACGCTTTGAAATATTCATCTGAGAGCTTCAAAATATTAGTTCCTAGGTGACTGTTTTATGGCATTGTATTTTGTTCTTTACGTGAGGTCACGAGTCTCTGAGAAGATGATAATGTAGTCCCAGGGCACCCAGGTTGGTAACAACCGAGGTCATGTCTGAGGCCCACATTCTCTATCAGACATTGTGATGTCACAGAGGTACTCTCCAGGCTTACCATACATGGGCAGTGACATGGGCCAAACTAAGTGCATCCCACCAGAGTACAGATATATGTCTGATATATTGATCGTCTGGTGTTTAGTCTGTGAGTATTGGATTGGGAATAGAGGACTTTGGGATTTATCAGGTGCTGCGTCTCAGGGAAGTGCACTAGGCTCTGAGCTCTAAGGCATGGGCCTAGTCTCCCAAGCCTGCCTCCTCCACACTGGTGCTGATTCTTCGGGGTGGGAATGTGGAGGCTGCCTGATTATGAAATCTCCAAATACTTGTTCTGCCAATACAGGCCTGGGGCAAGGTTCAGGGGAATTCTTTCTGACTTGATTTTTTTTTCTTGGTGAGCCTGCCACTGTGATTCAGATTCTTCTGCCACCACATGGGAGATTTTCCTATCCAAACTACTCTCCCTGGAGTTGAGGGAGGATTGGAGCTCCCAACATTTTCCTTCCTGTTTTCTTCAATGCAACTTCTCTTATTAATCTAATAAAATGAGGGACTGTGGTCTCATGTGTTTCTGTTGCTCCTGTGAAGGTAGATTGGTGCGTGAATATTTGAACTGATGTCTCTGTGGGGAGCTGTCAACAGATTGTGTTAATCAACCATCATATTGGAGTCTGTTCTCTATCATGTTTGTAACTTAATTTTTTGTACTTTCCAGTTGAAGGATTTATTTTTTATTCTCTTTAATTGCATATATATGTATATTTGTGTATATATGTATATATATATATATAAATTCTCTCTGTTAGAGTATTAAATAATTTCTGTGTCCTCTTGAATTTTGTTAAATTTCCTTAAAACACTAGCATTGTAGACTTCATTCAAACATTTGAAAATTTCAGTTCCTAGATGCTTGTTCTTGATATTTAATGATGTAAGACATAATTTGTACATGGAAGAATGATTAATTAAAATAATCTGACTTTAGTTGTGGCTGTCCTTCCAGAAATTTGAAGCAGTTTTTTTTTCTTTAAGTTTTCTCTGAATCTGTTGACAGAGCTGCTATTTCTGTGCCGGATAACACCCCAAACTGGTATTTTTTTCCCTGTAGTTCTACCGTTAACTTTTCTTTTTCTGCTTCCGTCCCACAGCATTCACCAAGCTCAGATTTGTCCTAAATCCACAGTTGGTATTGTTGTTCAGAGAGAGCTGGGAAGTGCCTGAAGAGGGATAATCCACCCATACAAGACTCATCTTAACACAGAGATGAGCTCACACTACTAGCCTTGTTTCACCGACTCCATGATGCTAATTCATACCTGAAAGACACAGTCCATCCTGACTCATGCGGCCTGAGGGTGGGACTGAAGCCCGCTCTGTTATGGTTTGTCCGCTTCTGAGTTGGAGTAGTGTACAATGCCACTCTTACCATCCAGTCCTAGGTGATTCTGGCTGGGGTTTTAGACTTTTCGGTTGTGGCTACAGAAATCAACTTGATACGGAAACATGTCCAGTTCCTCTTTCTATAGGTACTGTCCTGAGGAGAATGTCTTTTAAAATACCCTGATTATTGGATGTTTACTGCTTGATAGTGGGTCCCAAAGCAATCCTGTGGTTTCCTTCTGTCTACCCAAAGTTATAGGAGGAGATGGAGGTACCCCTTCAGCTGCCCAGGCAGGCAATACGTGGGGCATACCTGGTTCTCACAGTCACTAGGCCCTGTGCAGGTCCTTGTGAAGCTGTCAGTGATGTATGTCAAGACAAGACCTCAGCAGGGTGCAGGTCCTCCCTTAATAAGGTGCAAGTCCAGAGACTGCCCACAGGCACTTGCCTAGGGTTAGGCATTATTAGGATCTTCCAAGTGTGAAGCTTTATCAGCCCAGCATTGTGTTGCAAGCTCCAGTCTCATGGCTCCATTTATGTCTTCATGAGATTTCAGGAAGAGTGATTATGGGAGCCACTGGGCACCCAGCCTGGGAACAATCTGTGTCACATCCGGACCTGTCACTGAACTCTGCGATGTTCCAGAGACTCTTTCCAGGTCCACCCGAGCACCTGAATGATGGACAGGAGTGATTCCTCGCATGAGTGCACAGCCCTTTGCCTGATGCTAAGCATGTTCACAGCTGTTTTCTGGGTTTTATCAGGTGCTGGGTCTTAGTTTAGTGTCTGAGCTCTGGGCTCCAAGGTAAGAGCCTAAGCTACCTCTCTTGCAATACTGTGTAGAGGCTGGAATCTTCTTTCATTTGTTGAGTGGATTCATGGGATCATTTGTAGAACTATCCTGGTCCTATAGCACTCATATATTCAGTCTGGAGGTGTCTCCTGGAGGCAGAGGCCATGAGGCTCTGTTTAACTCAGAATTTTAACACAATGAGATTGGTACTTAGATTCAATTCCTTCTCTCTCCCCTAAGTGGGAGGCGTCTCCTCCATGTTGACCCCATTTCGAACTGGGGAGGTGTGTTGCAGGCAACTGTTTCATTTCTACTTTTTTTTGTTGTGGGTTTCTTATTATTACACTAAAATGAGGCACTGTGGTCTCACACCTGGCTTCTCTAACTCTTGCGATGGTGACCTGGCGTGTGGTTAACTGTTCTCCTTGTGGTCTGGAGGAGATGCTCACTGAAAAATCCAATTTTTAGCCATCTTGCTTCTTGCTTCAGCCTATGTTTCCCAGCTTTACTATCTGCTAAGACATTCTCTACAAAATCTCTGAAAACTGGTCCTGCCTTTCTCTGTTCTGGGCCTTATCAACCTCAGATACTATATTGCTGTGCTCTCTTATCTCCTGTTGTTCATTCCTGTTGATTTCTTAAGCAGACTCAACCACAGGGGTTCACACCGAGGGAACAGAAGCTTCATCTGAATAGAAATAACTTCTCCTTAGGGAGAACTGAGATCACAGCTATAAATTTCATGCAGTTTTGCTATGGGGCTTGATATGGGTGCTAGTTTCAGTCCTGGCTGCTGCACTTCTACTGTAGCTCCCTGCTAATGTGCCTTGGAAAAGCAGTGGAAGATGACCCAAATGCTTGGGCCCCTGCATCTATGTGGGGGACCCAGAAGAATTTCCAGGCTCCTGGCTTCAGCCTTGCCTAGCCTTGGTCATTGCAGCCATTTGGGGAAAGAGCAAGTGGATAGAAGAATGCTCTCTCTTTCTAACTCTGCCTTTACAATAAATAAGATAAATCTTTGAATTTAGAAAAGCTTCAGCATCTTTTTTAGCACTTAAAATTTTGATTCTTATGGAAATGATTTGATATAGAGACAATGTTCTCAGAAAAGTTTTCACCAAAAAATTTTCAGGGTTCATATGCCCATTTGTTATTAATCAGCTAAAGGTAAGATGATTGTGCCAGCTGGCAGCAAATATTGGGAAAAGCACTCTAAGCCAAACAGCAGGACCTGGTCTAGGTGTGCGACTATCTGAAGTTCTGGAAAACTCAGTCGTAGATTTTTATGTTATTTATAGGCATGAACAGACTCCAAATCTCCCAAGAATATTGTCTACATTGAACTAACTTCCATTAATTTTGAGCAGCCACAGAGATATTTATGCTATATATCCTGTCATATACTGCATATAAATGACACTTTATTATCTTATAAATACAGAGCAGTAACTTTGTGTTAATTTGAATCATTAAGTTTTATTTATCTAATCATTTGATAACCTAGGTTTTAAATTGACAACAAGGAGTTTTGTGTGATACCAAGGCTGTGATTTGAATTTGATATTTTGTTGTCAACAGGCTGCCAGCATTCAGGGGAGCACCAGGGATCTTCTGGAGATAGCAACTTGGGTTTTTTCTAAGGCAGAGATGCTAGCTGGCCTAATTACAACTCATCTATCCCAATCTATGACCAATCTTACATCAAAGAATGCATTAGGGACACACTTATGAGTAGTTGGTCAAAGTATTCATGTTTGCAGATGACATGATGTTATGCTTGAAAAACCTAAACACTTGACCAAAAAGCTGTTAAAACTGGTGGTAAACCAATTCAGCAAATTGCAAGTTACAAAACCCACATTTGAAAAACAGTCGCTTTTTATACACTAATGATGAACTCACTGAAAAAGGAATCAAGAAATAAACCCTATTCACTATAGCCACAAAAATCAAATATTTAGGAATAAATTTAACCGAAGAAGTGAAAGATTTCTACAATAAAAATTATAAAAAACTGATGCCAGAAATTATCAAGTACACAAAAATGGAAAGATATTCCTTGCTCATGGATTGGAAAAATTAACATTATTAAAAGGTTTGTATGACTTAAAACATTCCACAGATTCAATGCAATCTCTATAAAAATAACAATGACATCCTCTACAGAATTAGCAAAAAAAATCCCCAAGTTCATATGGAATCCCAAAAGATACAGAATAGCCAAAGATATGCTGAATAACAACAACAACAAAAAATCAAGATGGAGGCATCACAATATTTGACTTTAAAGCATCCTACAATGCTGCAGTAATTGAAACATCACGCTGCTTGCATAAAAACTGACATATGGATCAATGGAACAGCCAAAGAGTCCGTAAATTGATCCATGTCCTTTTGACTTTTAACAGAAGGGCCCAAATCATTCATTGGAGAATGGATAATTTCTTCAATAAATGCTGCTGGCAAAAACTGGATGTATATATGTAAAAGAATGAAATGAGACCCCTACCTTTCACCATACACAAAAGTCAACTCAACATGGACCAAAGACCTAAATTCAAAACCTTAGACTATGGAGCTACTGGAAGATAATGTAGGAAAAACAATTCAAGACATTCATGTAGCTGATGAATTCTTGGACAAGACCTCAAAGCACAGGAAACAAAAGCAAAACTAGCCGAATGAGAGTATATCAATCTCAGAAGTTTCAATAAACCAATGGAAGCTATTAGTAGAGTGAAAACACAAGCAACACAGTGGGAAAATTATTTTCAAGCTACCTGACAAAGGATTGATATTTAGAGTATATCAGCAACTCAAGTAATTCAACAGTATGAACCAACCAATCCAGTGAAAAATGGGTAATGGACTTCAATAGACAGTTCTCAAAAAAGAAATACAAATGGTCAATAAATATATGAACTAAAGGGCTCAATACCACTAGTCATCAAGGTAATGAAAACCAAAACCAC